CTTTCTGAAGGGTCCAGACCCGAAACGTCAGCTTTCCTGCTCCTCTGATGCTGCCTGGCCTGCTGTGTTCATCCAGCTCTACACCTTGTTACTATATCGAATTTGCTGCTTCAATGCCCTTTAGATTAAGGTTATTTGACACTTTGCCTTCAAGGCCAATGTTACCTTTTGTCAGTTTGTATAGCAACCACGTATCAATAGTACCAAAAGAGCAGTTTTCTTCAGCGACAGCATCTTGAACCTGTGAGGTGAAGCCTATAGTGATTACATAGCAATATAACAGCTTCATAAAACAATACTCGCTTGCAACATCACCCCCCTCCTCCTTTCCTGGGCTATCAAGCACAAGAAAACTTTCCTGATGTTAAACGATACACTTCTTGTATTCAAAAGGATCAGACTAAAGACACCACAAAATTAAAATAAAAACAAAAAAGAACTGTGGGTGCTGTAAATAAGGAACAAGAATACAAATTGCTGGAAAAGCTCAGCAGGTCTGGCAGCATGTGCAGGGAGAAATCACAGTTAACATTTCAGGTCCGGTGACCCTTCCTCAGAAACGTTAACTCTGACTTCTCTCCACAGATGCTGCCAGACCTGCTGAGTTTTCCAGCAATTTCTGTTTTTGCTTAAGATAGCACAATGTAATTCACCAAAATGATTCTCAAATACAAACACACATGGACGCTCAGGTATGTACTCTCAGAAAGTCAGATCTAGATTACTTTCCTGAGAAGAGCTACACCTTGATGAATTGAAAAACGAGATAGTAGGAGATATTTTGTCTCTGAGCTACCCAAATTCAGAAGAAATGAATACAGGAGGAGGCCATTCAGCCCCTTGACCATCCTCTGCTATTCAACAGGACCATGGCTGACCTGACATTCCAGAAGGAGAAACCCCACTTCTGCAATGGATGACCATCAGTATTTTTTTAAAAATGCTCAATTTACTCCACATCTGTAACCTCTGCTATTTTTCCAGTCTTGGTATCCATGCTGGAACTGAGAATGGTACTTCCATTTCAAGACAGGCTACAGTTTTGACAGGGGACAGTGTTACCATCTGTACAATATTCCCCAGCAGAAGGGGAAAAGCTCCTCAAGCGGATCCATGACTTCAGGATGTACATCGTCAACCCCACAATTGGGATACAGCTATCTGGCTGTGTGCTTGGAAGGAAACCACCCCATCACCCACCACAATACTATGAAGAATCCTCAAAATGACCTCTTCACAGACAATATAGTTCAGCTACTCAGAGCCGGAGAAAACAGACACTCCCTTTATTTATCAATGGCACAGAGGCCAGGAAGTCAGGTCAAGCAAATTGTGCAATCCTACAAAAACGTGGATTTAAAATCTGCTTTGGGATTGAAGTTTAGGTAGAATTTGAATATAAAGGGACAAAACATTTAAAAAGGTAAAATCACCATAGCCTGACCAGACTATAGGGATGCTCTCATTGCAACGCAAGAGAGGTGGATGACTGGCAGTGGTTTAGCTCGAGGGTCACAATGCCTCAGGTGAGGGGAGACGGTGAAGGGGTAACCCATGGTAACTTCAGCCGCTGCAGGAATCAACATCATGCCATTGGTGTCACCCTGCATCGTAAACCAACCATCCATCCATCCTACTGGGTTAACCCCACAAAACATTTAGATAGGATTACACTAAACATGCCCCACAGGAGGTTAATTAACACCATTCCATGGTGTTTACACTCCAATTGGTCACTGTGAACTGCTGCCAGCATTGTTCAAATGAAGGAAACTCCAGGAACTGTTGGGTCTTGTCTGGCAGAGGAAAACCATCTCCTGGTCTAACTAGAAGTGGCCCTTGTAGTTAACAAGATCTAGTCACTGCAACTTCCAGGTTATTTTGAAATAACAGACATTAGACTTTTACAAGGACCAGATATTGCGTCTCACTCTTAGGAGATCCTAAATTGTTCTGCCCACAAACAGTAGGCAGGGCTTGTGGCCCTTCAGCATTAACCCTTTCAGACCCAAATACAAAACACTTTCACCATCTATTCTCTTCAGACAGTGTTTATCCAGCTTCCTGCTTAAAGTGTATCTATACTCTCCACTTAACCCATTAAGTTCCACATTGTTATCCCCCAGTGATGGAAATTCTTCTGAACTGCCTGTTGGATTTCTTGTCAATCTTACATCTCCCTTTGCCCTGTAAAAGAAAATACTCCCTCCGTATCCATCATCAAAACCTTTCATCATGTCAGCACTTCTACTTGGTCATCCCTCTGGTTAGGGGATTTCTTTTCGATTATAAGGCTTGGAGTTGAAACCTTCTTCAAACCACCATTGTTTTCAAGTGATGTAGCAAAAACGATGAGCTCTTCGCGTTTATTGTGGGTACAGCATGGCTGCTCAGTGGTTAGCACTGCTGCCTCACAGCGCCAGGGACCCGAATTTGATCCCACCCTCTGTGTGGAGTTTGCACATTCTCCCCATGTTTGCGTGGGTTTCCTCCCACAGTCCACAGATGAGCAGGTTAGGTGCATTAGCCATCGGAAACATAGGGTTACATAGAGAGGGTAGGCAGTGGTGGATCTGGGGGTGGGGGGTTGGGGGTGTTGCTCTTTGGAGGGTCAGTGTGGACTCAATAGACCGAATGGCTTGCTTCCACATGGTAGGGATTCTATGATTGTATACCCCTTACTGAAGCCTCAGTAACAGTGTACTGTAACTTTTATAGATGGCCAAGTCTGCTGACTTCAGAAGAGGACCTTATCCTACTACAGTAATCCACAAACCTAGAGAGATGGAGATGAACCTTTCCAAAGCTAGATGGAAAAATGTAAATACAGCCCTCTACACACTGAGAAGTTGAAATGCAGCTTGGTCCGATCACTGACTAAAGAAGAAAGCTTCGCACAAAATGTGCTCAGTTAGCACAATTATACATGATGCTAAAACGTGGTACAACTTCAAGGGTGCTTTTAAAAAAAGAAAGCAATAATCAGAGGTTACAGCTAAACTAACTAAACAGCTTATTTATAAAATTTTAAAATAAGATATACCAGTACTTCATTAAATAAGTGTGATATTAATGTCAATAATGGACATGCTATTTGTGGAGACTGGATCTGAGTACAGTACCTGTGGACTACAGAACAAGCAAAGATTATAATGCTCATGTTCTTAAAGGGACATCAGCAGCAGAAATCAAAAAAGGGCAAACTTGCAGAATAGACAACTAATGTCTTTGGAGTAACCTATTGATCTGTTGACTTGCCAGGTCAAAGTTCTGAAAGTTTCTTTTTTTTTGTTTTCTTTTCTCATTGGTTCTGGGTGTCGCTGACTCACTCAGTCAGCATTTATTGCCCAACTCCCCAGCAACGACCACACCCCATGAATGAAAAAAAATGAATCCTTAATTGGTCAACCCCCTCAGTCTGGGGTCATATGTAGGCCCAACCAGGTATGAATAGCAGCTTACCTTCCCTAAAGGACATGAGTTTTTATGACAACCGATAATGGTTTCACACTTGCTATTAAAAATTAGCATTTTATTCCAGATTTTTGTTTTAAATCAAGTTTCACCATTTGCCATGGTGGGACTTGAACCTATGCCCCCAGGACATTAACCTGGGGTTGTGATTTACAAATCCAGTGACATTAGTAAATGCTATCTCTTCCCCATTTATCTAAATCTGATGAATTTAGATGGCTTACATATTTAATTGATAATTAGAGAGATTCTTCCACATTTTCAAAAAAATGTACGTGTCTATCATCAAGGAGGCTTTATGATTGTTTAGTTGCTGCCATCAGTAAGTTGCTCACATAACACAGCCACCCAATGACAGGAATGCATCTGACAGGCTGAATGGCCTTTCCTTGTTCTATTCTTATACAGGTTCTTCTGTTGCTGTGTGAAGTGTGCAGGATATGCAGCACGAGGTGAGAAGTTGCAGTATCTATTTGTGCCACTAGAGAGCTGTATATTCATTCATAAACTTACCCGGTCCCACAATCTCTCAAAACTCTGAAGGCTGAAGAAGGGTCAGTGGACTCTAAACATTAATTATGTTTCTCTCCCCACAGATCCTGCCAGACCTACTGGGGTTCTCCAGCAACTTGTTTTTGTTTCAATCTTCAGCATCTGCTGTTCTTTGGTTTATTTCAGGCTACGCCACCCTACTACTTAGACTAAGGGGGTGGGTTTAGCTCAATTGGCTGGACAGCTGGTTTGTGATACAGAGTAATACCAACAGCATGGGTTCAATTCCTGCACCAGCTGAGGTTACTATGAAGGACTTTCCATCTCAACTTCTTCCCTTGCTCAAGGCATGGCTACTGTCAGGTTAAACCACCACCACCAGAGAGCAGCCTGATGGTCTGCAGACTTTAAAGTTGTAGAAAAGCAGTTTTTTGTAGCTCATACCAAAAGGGGGAAATTGAAATTGTAGCACTGGAAGTGTGCACCATGTCAATAAATGTTTGGGATTAATGTTAGAGTAACAATGGGGTTAAACTAACACACCGATTAATACAAACTGGCCCTGGACTGTGATCAGATGGATTACAAGCAAATACAAGATCAATGGAAGCAAGTAACAGCAGTGCAGTGTCTTAAGTCGAATGGGGTAGGTCTAGTCTGATCTGTCTGCAAGAAATTAAAATTTAAAAGTTACGAAAACAACAAATCCTTGTGTGGGAACGAGGGCATTTTCCAGACTTAGACAGTGAGCTGGATAGTGTGGAAATGGCAACGTGTACACCTTTCAAGCATCCACGTAATTTCCAATTATCGCCAGAAGGTTACAACATGTCTCAAACAAACAAAAATTGCTGGAGAAACTCAGCAGGTCTGACAGCATCTGGAGGAAGAAACACGATTAACAATAGAATCCAATGACCCTTCTTTAAAGCTCGAATGTCCGAAATACTCTCGCGTATAAAAAGGTGCTTCAGCATTCAAGATTCCAAAAGATATGATGGAGATTCAGGTGGCACAGTGGTTAGCACTGCTGCCTCTCAGCACCAGGGACCTGGGTTTGATTCCACCCTCGGGCGACTGTCTGTGTGGAGTCTGCACATTCTCCCAGTGTCTGCGTGGGTTTCCTCCGGGTGCTCCGGTTTCCTCCCACAGTCCAAAGATGTGCAGGTTTGGGTGGATTAGCCTTGCTAAATTGCCCATAGTGTCCAAGGATGAGCAGGCAAGGTGGATTAGCCTTGGGAAATGCAGGGTTACAGGGATAGGGTGGGGTGCTCTTCAGTGGATTGGTGTGAATTCAATGGGCCGAATGGCCTGCTTCCACACTGCAGGCATTCTACAAAAAAGAAAGTTCTCACTCAAGACCTAATCATGATTTTATTTCGCTCACCATTTGCCCTTTTTATCATTCAATTATGATGGGCTGTGCATTTTTGCCTAGGGTATTCAGTCTTTTTAAAAACAAAACACCCACAAAAGCAAAATATTTTCTATGCCCTGTGACAGTAGCAGTGTAGCAGCTGTGAGGGCACCCTCTCAGCAGCCAACATCCAGGTGCTGTATGTTCATACCTGCTTTATATTTTGGAGAACCCAGGCTAAACGAATCGATACATGCTGGGTTGAGAAATGGATCACACTCGCAGCTAAGAAGCGCTTTTTCCTGGTCAGAAAATGGAGTAATCCACTGGATTTGTGAACCACCTACAATGAAAGCAAGGAAGAAAAACGTCCAATTTCCAAAGATGCACAATTCATATACCCAATCAGATGTCTTAACGAATTAAGTAATTAGACTCTCTATGAACTTTTAAATATTAAGGATTGGCATGAAGTTATCCCAAAGCAGTGTTCTTGAGCAAAAAGTATCATGTTTGTTTTTATGCAATTTAGAATCATAGAGCTGTACAGCACAGAAACATACCTTTCGGGCCAACTTGTCCATGCCGACCAGATATCCTAGATAAATCTAGTCTCATTTGCCAGCATTTGGCCCATATCCCTCTAAACCCTTCCTACTCATATACCCATCCAGACGCCTCCACCACTTCCTCTGGCAGCTCATTCCATACACGCACCACCCTCTGTGAAAAAGTTGCCCTTTAGGTCTCTCTTAAATCTTTCCCTTCTCATCTTAAACCTATTCCCTCTAGTTTTGGACTCCCCCACCCAAAGGAAAAGACTTGGCCTATTCACCATAACCATGCCCTTCATGACTTTATAAACCTCTATAAGGTCACCCCTTAGCCTCAAGGGAAAATAGCCCCAGCCTTTTCAGCCTCTCCCTATAGCTCCAACCCTGGCAACATCCTTGAAAATCTTTTCTGAACTCGTTCAATTTCACATCGTCCTTCCTATAGCAGGGAGAGCAGAACTGAACGTTGTATTCCAAAAGTGGCCTAACCAATGCCCTGTACAGCCGCAACACGACCTCCCAACTCCTTTATGCAATGCACTAACCAATAAAGGCAAGCATACCAAATGCCTTCTTCACTATCCTGTCTACCTGGGATTCCACTTTCAAGGAACAATGAACCTGAATGCCAAGGTCTATTTGTTCAGCAACACTCCCCAAGACCTTACCATTGAGCATATATAGGGCCTGGCCTTTGAGTCTGTAGATTGTAAAAACGGATGGAAATGGGTTTTAGAAGGTGCTGTGCTCTTCTTGTCAGATGTAGGAGATCAGGGAGAATGTGAATGTTCCTGGAGACTATGTTTGCCAGAAGAATGTTTGGTTGTGAATCCTAATGGGTCGCATGGATCTGTTGGAGCAGCAGTTAGAGACAATGAGGAATTTACAAGAGCAAGGGGGTGTGATGGATGGCAGTTTCAGGAAGGTGGAAACACTGCAGATGTTCAGGTAGGCAGTTGATTGCTAGGAAAGGCAGGAGAGGTGGAAAGTTAATACTGGAGTCTCCTGTGGCTAACCCCATCTCAAACAGCTATGCTGTTGTGGACACTGTAGGGAGTGGGGGGACGGGGAGGTGGAGATGGCCTCTCAGGGGAGTATAGGAATGGGCAATAACTGCTGCCTAGCCAGCAACACACTCATCCCGTTAAATGAATAGACGAAAAAAAGCACTTGCATCCAGGTTCTGGTCTCGTGTCTAGCTGTTCTGTAATGATGGGTATGTCAGGTTCCAAGCAAGCAATTGTAATAGGGAACTGAGGCACAGACAAATGTTTCTCCTGCCATTAGCAAGAAATCAGGATGATGCGTTGCCTCCCTGGTGCCAGGATTGAGGATATCTCAGAAGTTGCAGAATATTCTGGAAGGGGAGAGTGACCACCTGGGAGGTTAGTATGCATGTTGGTACCAACAACAGTTAAGGAAAGGGAAGAGGTTCTGCCAAGGGTATAGGAGGAAACTGGGCAGGAGGTTATCAAGTAATATCTGGACTACTACTGCAAGGGAGAGTTTAAACTAGATTGGTAGGTTGGGGGGGCCGGGGGTTGGTTGGGGGTGGTGGGGTTGGGATCCTTAACAGCAGGGAGGCAAGTGCAAGGCTGGAAGGAGATACAGTAATCAGAAATAGCATGTTGAACATAGAACAATACAGCACAGTACAGGCCCTTCAGCCCACGATGTTGTGCCAAACTTTTACCCTAATGTTAAGGTCTATCTAACCTCCACCCCTACCTTATACTATCATCCATATGCCTATCTAATAGCTGCTTAAATGCCCCTAATGAGGCCGACTCCACTACCCTCTCCAGCAATGCACTCCACGCCTCGACCACTCTGAGTAAAGAACCTACCTCTGACATCTCCCCTATATTTACCTCCACTCACTTTAAAACTATGCCCCCTCGTAATAGCTACCTCCACCCTAGGAAAAAGTCTCTGGCTGTCCACTATCTATACCTCTGATCACTTTATACACCTCTATCAAGTCACCTCTCATCCTTCGTCGTTTTAAAGAGAAAAGCCCTAGCTCCCTCAACCTTTCCTCGCAAGTCCTTCCCTCCATTCCAGGCAACATCCTGGTAAATCTCCTCTACACCTTTTCCAACGCTTCCACATTTTTCCTGTAATGACGCAACCAGAACTGGACACCACACTCCAGATGTGGCCGAACCAGGCTTTTGTATAGCTGGAGCATAACTTCACGGCTCTTGAACTCGATCCCTCTTAATGAAAGCTAACACACCATACGCCTTCTTAACAACTCTATCCACCTGGGTGGCAGCTCTCAGGGAACTGTGAACATGAACCCCAAGATCCCCCTGTTCCTCCACACTGCCAAGAATCTTTCCGTTAACCCTGTATTCTGCTTTCAAGTTTGTCCTTCCAAAATAAATCACCTCACACTTTTCAGGGTTAAACTCCATCTGCCACTTCTCAGCCCAGCTCTGCATCCTATCAATATTCCTTTGTAACCTAGAACAGCCCTCCGCACTGTCCACAACGCGACCCACCTTTGTATCGTCCGCAAACTTGCTAATCCACCCTTCCACTCCTTCATCCAAATCACTTACAAAAATCACAAATAGAAGAGGACCCAGAACAGATCCTTGTGGTACACCACTCGTAACTGAGCACCACGTTGAATATTTTCCGTCCACCACCACCCTATGTCTAAGGGTCAGCCAATTCTGAATCCAATCTGCCACATTTCCCCCTATCCCATGCCTCCTTACCTTCTGCATGAGCCTACCATGGGGAACCTTATCAAACGCCTGAAGAGACAGGTCACGTTGGAACAGGACGCGAGGAATGCCTGTTGGATTAAATTGCATCTATTTCAATAGGAGAGGGCTGACAGGTAAGGCCGACGAACTTGGTGTGGATAGGTACATGGGACTGGGATTTTTTGCCATTACAGAAACATGGCTAAGGGAGGGACAGGACTGGCAGCTTAATGTGCAGGGTACAGATGCTTCAGGTGAGACAGAGGTGGAGGGAAGTGGGGAGGGGGAGTTGCATTTTGGATTAAGGGCAGTATCACAGCAGTAGTCAGAGATTAGAAGGTATGAAGGTGGATAAATCTCCTGGCACTGATCAGATATATCCAAGAACCCTGCAAGAAGCTAGAGAAGAAATTGCAGGGGTCTTGGCTAATATATTTACATCATCGTTAACCACTGGCGTGGTCCCAGAAGACTGGAGGGTACCGAATGTTGTGCCCTTTTTCAAGGACAGCTGCAGAGAAAAACTTGGGAATTATAGACCATTAAACTTAACATCTGTAGTAGGTAAGTTACTGGAGAGGAGTCTGAGGGATAAGATATACACACATTTAGAAAGACAGGGTTTGAGTAGGAGTTAAAAAAAAAAAACAAAAACAGAAGTTGCTGGAAAAGCTCAGCAGGTCTGGCAGCACCCGTGAAGGGAAAAACAGTTAACATTTCGGGTCTGGTGACTCTTCCTCAGAACTTTTCTTCTGAGCTTTTCCAGCAACTTTGTTTTTGTTGCTGATCTACAGCATCCGCAGTTTTCTCAATTTTGATTAGAAGTAGTCAGCTTGGCTTCATGCATGGAAGATCTTGCCTCACAAATTTGTTAGTGACCAGGAAGATTGATGAAGGCAGGGTGGTAGACACAGTCTATATGGATTTCTGCAAGGCCTTTGATAAGGTTCCACATGGTGGGCTGCTCTGGTAGGTTAAATCGCATGGAATCCAGGGAGCGCTGGCAAACTGGATACACAATTGGCTTGATGGTAGGAAATAGAGAGTAATAGTGGAAGGATGCTTGTCGGAATGGAGGCCTGTGACTAGTGGTGTTCCTCAGGGGTCGGTGCTGGGCCCATTGCTGTTTGTTATTTATAAATCAGTGATTTGGATGAGAATGTACAAGGCATGATAAGTAAGTTTGCAGATGACACTAAAATAGGCAGTATCGTGGACAGTAAGGAGGGTTATCAGAAATTGCAGCAGGGGAAGTGGGCAGAGAAACGGCAAATGGAGTTCAATATAGATAAGCGCGAGGTGTTGCATTTTGGAAAGTCAAATCCAGGTAGGAGTTTCACGGTGAATGGTAGGGCCTTAAGGAGCATAGTGGAACAGAGGGATCCTGGAGTTCAGGTGCACGGATCTCTGAAAGTGGAGTCACAGGTAGACAGGGCAGTGAAGGCAGCTTTTGGCACACTGGCCTTCATCAGTCAGGGCATTGAGTACAGAAGTTGGGAGGTTATGTTGCAGTTGTACAGGACGTTGGTGAGGCCGCGATTGGAGTATGGTGTTCAGTTTTGGTTACCTTGCGAGAGGAAGGATGTTATTAAACTGGAAAGAGTGCAGAAGAAATTTACAAGGATGTTGCCAGGACTCGAGGGACTGAGTTACAGGGAGAGGTGAGACAAGCTAGGACCTTTTTCTTTACAGTGTAGGAGACGGAGGGGGGGATCTTATAGAAGTGTATAAGATCATGAGAGGCATGGATAGGGTGAATGCACTCCGTCTTTTTTCCCCAAGGTTGGGGAATTGAGGACTAGAGGGCATCGGTTCAAGCTAAGAGGGGAAAGAATACATGGGAACCTGAGGGGCAACTTTTGTTTTTGTTTACACAGAAGTGTGGTATACATATGGAAAGAGCTGCCAGCAGAAGTGGTTGAGGCGTGTGCGTTAACAACATTTAAGAGGCATTTCGACGAATATGCAGATAGGAAAGGTTTAGAAGGATATGGGTCAAGTCCAGGAAACGGGGTTAGCATGGCTGGACATTTTGGGTCAGCATGGACCCATTTGGGCCGAAGGGTCTG